TTCCAAAGCTGAACTACTAAAGTACAAATTCAATCAGACCCCAAGTTTAGCTCCAGGTTTAGATTAGAAACATTGATTAAATTGTTCACTTGAGAATAAATATGTTGGCCACTTATGTTTTGTTTAGGGTGGTGTCGGTCATGACTAATTGCTGGGTGGAGGAAAGCGTGTCAGGCATGCTTGCATACACAAATCAAGTTGTTTTAGACATAATTTTGTTATGAGAACCCCTGCCTTCTCAGCAATTATATAAACCCATAGAGATCAAATATTACTGTTTTATTTTCATAAGAATTATGATTGCCTTAATGAGGGCAATCCATTCATAATCTGGCTGCCAATGATTTTAAAATAAAGCAAAATCCCCTAAAAACCTATTCCCTAAGTAGTTTGCAGAAATTACTTAGTTGCTCAAAAAGAGCCATCACTCTTCCATGATAGTTGACTTTGCCAAGCCAGCACTAGAATATTGTCGTTTATTTTAATTGAAAATTTCCCCCTTGTTTTTTTATATTAACTGCTTCAAAAGTGCTTCTGAAAGGTGCTAGCTTGACAGTCCCCAAATCCTTTCTGTAATTACAGATATAATAGCTGAGATAGATATTTTTTGGAGCAGTCAGCTTTATTTACACCCATTCCCTTCTCTGTTGAAAGGTAAGCTTGCTCAAGGAAAAAAAGGGAAGATATAAGAAGTTTCCTTCTTTTGCTGCAGATATTTGTCCATCTATTCCAGTATTGGGACAATCAGAGAAACTGTCTAGTGTTGCAAGCAGATATTCTCGAATCCTATCTTGCAACTGAATTGAGTTGCTTATAAATGCTAAATGTGTGCTCCCAACATAGAGGTAGGTTACTACTGGTTCGCACCAGTTTGGGCGAACCAGTAGTGGAATTGGGATGCAGTTACCAAACCGGAATGGATGGCAAGCTGGCCATGCCCCTGAACTGGTTCCCTGGTCACCCATGCCATTGCCAGCATGTTTTTAGTCATTTTATAATGTTTTGCACATGCACAGAACAATGTACAGACAACTGCACCTGTGCAAGCAATGACTGGCATGCGTGTGTGCGAAGTCAGCAAAGCGTGCATGAAGCGGACGCCGGCAGCAGCCCACCCCTGTCCCAACAGTACTATCTGGTTTGATTGGTCAGACAATTGACACTAATCATTGTTAGAATATGTTAGTAATGTACAAGTGCATTCATTAATTAACCATATAACCGCCTAATACTACCAGTTAAATGTCACTAGCATGCCATGATACAATAATAATATGTAGCCACGTTGGAGTATGTAAGGCATACTCAAACCAGCCCAAAATGGCAGAAAGTTTTGCTTTGGAAAATGTCAGCCCATGTTGCAAGTTGAGAATATAATTTTGCACAAGATTACCCAGGAGATCACTAAGAAACAGATGGTTCCCACATGAACTGGTTGAGGCAACACTGCTCTGGAAAAGGTCCTTCCACAAAACAGCTGGTTCAATTACAGCAGCACAGAAGCACAGTGCATAAATAAATAGAAGTTGACCAACTTTCCAGACATAACTACTTGGTTCCCATGGCTGCCTAAAAGAACCAGGAAAAAGATAGATGCAATTTAGTACCATAGCTTGTTAAAACTTTTTGAAGTCTGTCTCCATTTAATTCATGGCAGCAGCTTGATAAAAACTGCAAAGAAAGCAATTTAAGGAATCTGGTCCTGGATGTCCAAAGACCAGTGGGTGACCCAATTTGAAACCAGACTAGATGCTGTCCATTTTGTGAATCTGCACATCAAGTAGCACTTGGCATAACAATGATCGCAGCAATGAATGAAAGCTCAGCTGAGGTGGACAGTAGTGGCACATTATTCAAAAGCAGTGACTGGACAGGGATTTGGCTGCAAGAAATCTTGGATACAGACAACATCTGGGTCATGATCCATCTTCTCTACTTTCCTGATCAGTTATTTTTGTGGTGCTTGGTGGGTATGAATGCTTTCTCTGCTTAAGTAAAACCTTGCTAAATTGTAATCAATAATGCTAGACATTTAACAAAGAATTACCTATGTTCTGTGTGTCATTTAGTATCAGTAGCTTGTCAATTCAAGGTCCCCAAAGCACCAATATCTCAATAAAAGATGCATGAGTGTGTTCTCCTCATAAATTCCAATCACTGACCAAGTTAATTCAGCAGTCTCAAGACATTGGTCTTAGCTGTTCTCAGGTATTGAACTATTTAGTAAACCAGGCATCACCTTGAATATTTTGTGACTAGAAAGAGACTGCTTGGAAGCAGTTTTGTCAAGTGCTGTTGTCATTCTCTGCTGTCAGCACTGGACCAAAAAATTGAAAGGGCTGCCTATCAAATTACAGGCAAAATTCCAAGCACCCACTGTAAACCTTCCAGTGACTTCTAGGGAATTTAATTAGTTTTAGCAATCCCAGGATGTCCCAGTGGTGATAATTTTCATCTGGACTAGGCAAAAGAAAGCCGCCATATCTCCATTTCCAGATTATCCAGCAAATGCACCAAAATCGGAATGAGGTCCAATATGTTTCTATCAATGTCAATCAGGATTAAAATTACTTGGGAGACTCTACAGTGGCCATGAAATCTTGTATCTGTTCAGAAAACTCTGGCTTCAGCAATTATTTCAGATAATAAATTATGCCCACAAAAATATGGAATAATTTAAAATGCATCCAGCTGAGTCAAACCTGGAGTTTATTGAAAACCTGCAAAACTCCCAGATCACCTCACCTGTGATGATTATTGATAATTTAAAATTGATATTTTAAAAATAAAATATTAAAGATTGAAATTATCTCACTCTTCTCATTTTTTAAAAGTTTTTTTATTTTAATTGAACAAAAACACAAAAAAAGAACCATCCTTCATTACATCTTGTAGAAAGCATGTCGATTGGTTACAGATAAATTTTGTGCATTTCTTCCACAGTCATTACTTATAGTTCATATTATATTATATACTTTAAATCAAAAATCTTTGTATATCTTACTAGCAATGTGCCACAATTCTCATTTGACTACAATTATTTGAATGTGCTTTTGCCTCAAATCCTTCATACTTAAAGACACAACCATATAATGGCATTCATTAGCTATTTCAAAAAAATCCTCCAAT